ATACCTTCCATAATTCTGTTGTGTTATTTTTGTGTTCTTCAATTTTAAATTGGCAATAGCTACTTTATTTTCTCAAAGTTCTAAGTTGCGTTTTTGTTTATATCTTTCCCAATTTACTTGATTTTTATTAGACCTAAAAACCTTATAACTTTCATCTCTGTTATTTTGTGGTAGCTTGTACATATTGATTGCACCACATTTTGTATTTAGGTAATAACTTGATTGAATTCTTAGATTCAGTCTTATTTAAAACATTTATAATTTCTGGGTAAAAATATTTGTATTTCTCATTGACATCATGTAAAAAATTGTTATTGCTTTTAATTTGGTATTAATAGCTTGAAAATCTGTATTTCTACCCCTAATTTCTATCATCTTAGGAGTTTCTGTGTTTTTATCGTACATACAACTTATTTCTATACTAGCTAACTCGATCCCGCTTCGCTGGCATTTCTCAAATCTCATTAAATTATTAAAAGTGAATAATAGTTCGTTACTCGAGAAAATTTTTTCATGCGATACCTGGCAATTTTTTTTAATAATTTTTATTAATTTAATTTTTATTAATTGTTATTTTTAATTAATTTTTATTATATTGTTACGCTGGGTTTTGGTATCACAATTTATTTTAACTCAACTTTTACAATAACTCAATTCAACTGATACAATAACTCCAACTGATAACATTAACGTTAACGTCTATCATAAAAACTGCACTCTGACGTCAGGTCGTCGACTTATATAGCTTGCCTCGACCTTCTAGAACCTTCTCGAAAAATCTGGACTTTTCTTTGACAAGGAATGACATTTCGAAACATTTCTGGACTATTATCTTCTTCATTTACTCGTACCTTTACTTATGACGACCGCAGCACGCTATAGGGTTCTGTGTAACGATATTTTAATAATTTTTATTAATCTTTTTAATTAATATTTATTTTTATTTACTTTTATTTATTTTTTATATCTATTTTCATTTATTTTTATTTTATTTTTATCCCTAAATAATTTATAAACAAATTAGAACTGCATTAAAACTTTAAATTGCTTATAACTCATTAACCTATTTTTTGACTTAACCCCTTGTTGCCTGGACTAAGAATAAAACAAAAAACCTATTTTTAGTGAACAGCTGATTCAATATGAATAAAAAAATACTCAAATTAATTTTTTTGAATTTTTTTCTTTGTCAGTTTTTTTTTTTAATAACCGGTATCAATAAGTACCGTCAGGCAGTTACAAACATTTATTTGACAACAAAATTATGGATTAGACACATACAAATTTAATTTGATTTGCAAATATTTATTTTTAATTTCAAAAAAATAATTAAAACAAATAAAAAATAAGAACTAGTTCTTGATTTCATGGTATTCTGCCATGCAGTTTTTTTCTCGTTGCAGCATAAATATACATTGCACAGGTTGCACTTGGAATGTGGGCGAGATTGCACATTTTTGCGACTGCACATTTCACACCGACCTCTAGTTTGTTCATAGATTAGCCAATGATTTCCTAGGTTAGCCAACCTCACATCTTCTGGAATTGAAAAGTTAAATTTTCTTCTTTTTGCAGGTGTTTTGTAAGTTTTTGAGTTTATGAGCCCCAATGTAACTGCTCGTCGAAACTCTAGCAAAGATTGAAATTCAAACATATCGCAATAAACAATATAGGTATTTACGAATGTTATATCTAGTAGCCCCCAAAAAAGTCGATGCCACCACTTCTTCGACCTTCTAGAGAGCCCATAAGATGCTCTCAACTGATCAGCATGGTCTACACCACCCATATGTTGGTTGTAGTCATCCACTATTTCTGGGCATGGGATTTGCAAAGTCGTACCGTCCTTTTGCTTACGTTTAACGAATGTGCTTTCATTTCCATGGAAATTGGAAGCCAAGGTAACTACTTTATTGTCCTTCCAAGCATAGAAGCCTATATCAAGAGAGCTAAATCTATAGTCATAGTCACCACGTTTCATGTGTTTGTCCATATTTATATGTTTTGGGACACCTTTTCTGGTGACACGTATTGTTCCACATGCCATTGTTGCTTCACCTTTTAATTTTTCTAATAACGGAATAGATGTAAAATAGTTGTCAAAATAGAAAATTTTATTTTTACCCCAATCCTTTTTCGTTAGTTTGAGGACAATTTTTTCACCTAATCCAAATTCTTCGAACTCGCCATCTAATTTGACATTTTTTCCTTAGTATATATCAAAACGCATAATATAACATTTTTGGTCAGCGGCGCACCACAATTTGTAACCACTTTTTATTGGCTTCATTGGGTTGTACTGTTTTATTGAACTACGCCCCTTGAATGCAATCATAGACTCCTCAATGGAAACCTTTCTAGTTCCATGATAATGCTTTTCATAAGCCTCGCCCAGTTTTGTAATCATCAGTCTAATTTTGTACAGCTTATCTTTATTTTGTACAGGAATTGTAGCATTGTCGTTGACATGAAGATTAGACAATATTTTATCAAATCGGTCGCGAGACATTACGCTCGCAATCAACGGTATTCCCAAATCTGGACTTGTTGACCAATAATGTCTCCATGACGGTAACTTATGGTATCCCATAAAAAAATTAATGCCAATAAATGCCAACAGCTCGTCATTTTTCAGGTTTAGTATTTTTTCTCTTTGTGTAGCGTAGATATTACTTTGAAATACTATGTCGTCTAAAATTGACTCTAGAAATACCAGAAACGCGTCAGTAGCAGACTTACAATTTGCAAAATCATTATGAACAGGACCTTCCTGTTCGGTATACTGGCTTATATTAGACCGGTCGTCTTTCTTTTTCCACTTTCTGTCAACTTTCTTTTCTTTATTACCTTTTACTTTTTGTAAAATATTTTCCTTTTCCTCTTCTAAAGCTTTCAGTGCATCAGGATCTTCTTGCATTGCAGTATCTCCTTACAGCTCATCTTCATATGCATCTATGTTTCCCAAACCGGTACTGTTATTACCGTTTAGATTATCCTCCTCCAATTCGTCTTCTTCATCAGTTTGAAAATCATTATCAAATGGAATATCTTCAAACTCAAAATTATCGAGAAACTTACTAGCTTCCGCTAGTAGTTCTTTATCGGTCAGTGGCTTATTGCTTTTACTTCGTCCACTGCTCATATTTTCAGCCTAAAATAGCAAAATCATAATTTTGTAGGTTTATAAAAGAGAAATTATTCTAAAAAAAAAAGATAGTCGTAAATGACTGACGGTACTTATAAGTACCAAAAGAAAAAAACATTTTTTATAACATTTGGTATCAAATTGTTAAATGAAACTTGCAAGATTATATTTATAAAACGTCTTTCATTACAATGTACCAAAAATATATACTTACTTTTCAATATACAGTACAAAACAATAACACGAAAGGCTCAACTTTATTTTTATGCACCCTCACTATACACCGGTCCGAAGACAACTGAACTGTCAGCAACGATGCACGGTCAGTTTCAAGCCGAGCTTGTCTATCGCAATATAATGGTACGTCAACGTACCGTCAAGCTATAAAGTACCCAAGCCCTCTCCGTGTAATTATATTGAGGATCGAAAATGACGGTACGTCAGACGACAAAGCGTTAATGCCTTTTGCTTGTAAGCCCACGAAATACAGAATTATGATGAAAACACTATCATTATTTAACAATAATTTTTTTTGTAAAACAAACTTTTCCCAAGAGAGAACGTTTATATTTTGCTTAATATAAATCAGACTTCCCCAGTATGTCTGATATTACTGTCTGCTCTATAAATATTATACTCATCTATTAATATCTCAAAATCATAAATGTCCTCAGTAAGATGAGTTTCACTTAAACAAACTAAAGTAGGTCTTCTATATACTACCAATGATGAATTTCGTCAAAGGGAATGGGTAGACTTTGTACCAAAACATAATTTTTACCCTTTATATTATTGGTGTTTCGTGGGCTAGCCGACAAAATTTATAACATTACTATGTCCTAAATTTGAGTCATTTGTGTTGCATCAATAATATCATTTATTTTCTTATTTATAGAAGTTTCAGAATCTGTAATATCAATAATTTTATTTTTTTACTACTAATATGAGAAATCACCATTATTTACTCCATTCCTCTAATGAGAAGTAATATTTCTCTCCCTAGGTAAATAATGATAATAAAAAAAACCTAGGTAAATAATGAAACTAAATTTCATTAGTTTCATTTTGTTAATTTGACAACTAAACTCCCAGACTACTTGATATTTTGAAATATTTGAAAAATAAGTAGGAAATAACTAAAGCTGGGTTTATTAAAATCTAATCAAATCAAATATGATAATATATATCAGTGTTAATAGTAAAAATATATATTAACTAGCAAATTCAACACCGGCTTTAAAAATTATTAATTAATAACAATAAATCCATGTCATTAAAATATCAAAAATGCAATGGGATATTTCCTAGAATCATACCAAAATTTGACACATGCCAAATTTTTACATAAATAAAGCCAGTCTGATTAGAAACACGCTCCAGTCTGCTTGATATTTCGAAATATTTAACAAATTGTTAGGGAATTACTTATGTCAAAATTAAAATTGCTAATACATTAATGTTAGTAGTAAAAAAAATTCTATGTATACCTCGGCTGAGAAAGCTATTATTTACCTCGCACATTATATCTCTCGGCGCTACGCGCCTCAGGATATAAAAGTGCTCGGTAAATAATAGCTCACTTCTCACCCTAGGTATATAATGTACTATTATTACATGTTATATGAATTAAGTTACTATTTTTTTTGTCACGTTTAATTAAATTTCAATGCCAATATTTTTTTACTAATACAATACCTTTTCTTATCATTCACATTCATTTAAAGTTAATAATTTATAACGACAATAATACAAGCAAAATATTAAACTAAATAAAAAAATTGAAATTTCGAAACATTCGATCCAACATATTTTTATCGGTAAAATTCGGGAAACTCATTGAGCTTTCCCGTTGCAGATGCCGAACGAGATGCGACAGCGTGCCGGCCGAGTAAATTCAGTGAACAGTGGCGTGCCGTTTCAAGACAGCAGGCGACAGTAATAGAAAAGGAACTGACAGAAGTGTTAATTAACTTCGTTACTAACACTAATCGAACTAAGAAGATCGCATCCGAAGCCCAATTGGACGACATATTGTTGCAGATCGAGGAAATTGTGAGTTTGTTACCCGGAACGTTAACTGTGCAAAAAGTGTTAGATATTGACAGTGATTGTTATAGTGAGTTGATCGAACAACCTTACCGGGATTTTTTAGATTGTTTATTATCGTATTTTGATGATAATTTTCCTTTCAGAGGCGACACTCTTTATGAAAGTGTTAAAAATTTGTTATGCGTCGAGAATGACAGGTTATTTTTATTGAATATTAAAGCTTTGGTTAAAATTCTACCAAAAAAGTCTGAAGGAAAGATAACAGAGTTGTTACAGATTGTTTTAGAGTCTGATGGATTGTTTTCTTTCATTGTCTATCATATTATAGATAAAAAGTCGTCGTTTATAGGTTTCGATCAAGATGAATCTTTCAATATTTGGAAAGATTTCGTTAATGTTTTAGTGAGTTTGCCTAGCAGGATTTCCAACATTTTAGAAGGAATCGTTCCTAATTTCTTTTCGATTCGATATTACACGAATTTTCTACTACTAACTTTCTTGAAAATCGTCGAATTTTTATCTGAATTTCTATCTCACGAAGCTGAAATCGAAAAATTGATCGATTACAGTAAATTATCGCTACTATTGAGTAAAATTGTGACAGATTTTAATGATAACGCTAATTCAGAATCTATTAAATGCTTTATTGAAATAATAGCTTTGTTGACCAATTCTAAATGTTCTAAAATTAGTTTGTACCAGAATATATTGAGGAAAATATTGTTTAAATTGGATCGTTCTGCTGTCAATACTTTCGCTAAAATGCTTCTACTAAACGTAGATCCGAATAAATATTTGATAACGAACATTTTGGGTAAAGATTTGATCAAAAACGAAAATTGGAAATTTGTGCTGTGCACAAAAATACCTTTATTAACGAATTTTAGTGGAAATTATACAAATTTGATGCTCAATTTGACTATATATTTAAGTTCGAGTAATCATTTTCTTTTATTAAAATTATTTACAGAATTGTTAACCGTTTGGGCTGATAAATCGGCTATAAATCGCACTAGTATCGAACAACGGTTATTCATAACGGAATTTATGTTGTACATTTTCAATTCGATGCAAAATATAAGTTTGAGCGATCGTGAATTTGAAAACATAAAAGAAAAAGTATACTCGGGTATCGTAGTACATTTAGAATCGAATATCGATAAAATCAGAAGTACCGGCATGAAATTCGGAGAGATAATTCTAAATTATCTCACAAAAGAAGGTAACAATGATGCTGATGCGGTACTCAAATTCGATTACGATACTTTAAATGAAGAATGTAAAATTATCGTTAATAGTTTGCAGAAAATCTGGGATACCGATATTCAAGTTTATTATAAAGAAAAAACCGATTTCGATACGAAATTAAACGATGTTATTATGAAATTAAAAGACAGAGAAGATAAGATTATATCGTACATACCACCAGAGCGTAAATTCAGATGTAAAAAAACTCTACAAGAACCTAAAAATGAAATTACATTATCCCAACTGAAAACAAACAGCAGAATCAAAATTATCGACAGTACGGATTTGCATTTGGATTCCGATGACGATTTAGAACCGTATGACGTATCTAATGACATCCCGACTACTTCTAAAAAGAACCCACCGATGTATTTGAGAGATCTGAGGGACGGTTTAATAGAAACCGAAGATTGCGATATATTTAGATTGAGTTTGGAAAATTGTGAAAATTTAATAACGGCTCAATTGCACGATGACGATGCTAGTATAGGTTTGGAAATTTTGGAAATCCTCTTATCAATAGAACCGAAATTTTACGTCGAAAATTTCGATGACCTCGTCTTTCAAAGCGCTGTTGCCGTTACTACTGTATACCCGTCGTATTATGCCGAATATTTATGTAAACAAATCCACGCGGATATCGGTATTTTTTCGATATCGAAACGGGTGTTTATGCTGAACGTTTTACGACAAACAGCCAAAAATCTGTCGGTCATTAAAACCGAAAAAAATACTGATAAAAAGAGGTCTAAAAAACAAATAGAATTAGACACTGCTGAAGAAGTAATAAGAAAACGATTAGAAGCCAAAACGAGATATTTCCACAAATATAAACAGGTTAAAAACGAACAAATTAATAGATTTTCCGAATTTGCGGGATATTTTTTCTTCCCCCTTCTCTACGGTTACAATCAAAATAAAATGCTGAATCAGTGCACTCAAACTGACAGCGATTTCGTATTTTTAATCCACTTTATCGAAACATTAGCGATAATAATGTGTGCGTCGCAAAATTGCCCCGTGGCGCCTAGAATGGCTAAGGAAATATTCCATTTCTCTTGGTTCTTGAGATTCCACAAGGAGGTGAAGGTGCGGATGGCCGTTTTGAGTCTGATCGCTTGCGCTATCATGAACGTGCCTAAAAGTATCTTGTTGCGCGATTTCACGAACGAATTGTTGGAAATAAGGTTGTGGTTGTCGGATTTGTTGAGTCCTAACGTGGCCAAAGGGGAACCGAATTTGGAATGTAGGGATCTAGCCGGTTGTACTATCGTTCTTATCGAAGGTATTCTTAAGGAAGAAACTGATGTAGATGATTAATATCATGTTTAGTGTTTTTTTTTTGTACGAATAAAATGTGATAAAAAAGAATTTGTGTTTTTATTTGGTATCTTAATTTACAAAACTACTTACAAGTTTTTGTTACCCTGTATAATAAAATATCTTTTAATATCATGTAATAATAGTTAATCATAAATTTTTTAATTATATTAGGCATTCTAACATGTCCAAATAACTGTTGTAGATGTGTTCTTCACTACCAGTTAATACAAGTGTATTATTTAATTAAAAAAGATAATCTATAAAAACTAGTTTTTTATTATATCGTCAAACTGACATCAATCAATCATTTTTTTACACATCAAAAGAAAAAATAAATAATAGAACATCAAAGTAAACTTGATTCGATGCAACTTCCAACACCCCCACTCAACGAATCATCTTTCTTCTCCCAAAGTCCAATTGCTTTTCGAAATTTCTGAAAAGCTTCATTCTGTAGTGGTTTGGTAAATCCATCTGCTATCATATTTGAGGTGTGGCAATATTTTAATTGTATTATACCAGTGTTAACCAAATCTCTCAAATGATGGTATTTTACATCAATATGTTTAGTCCTTTGCCTAAATTTCTCTTCACTGGCAATTTTTATACATCCTTGGTTATCTTCGAACACAGGAGTAGGTTTGACATTTCCAATGTTAAAGTCCATATCAATTCTTGGCTAGCTAAAGACGCGAAAACATATTCGGACTCAGTCGAAGATAAAGCTATTGATACCTGCTTCTTACTTGTCCATGAAATAGGATTTTTTCCAAGGAAAAATATGAAACCACTAGTCGACTTGCGATCAGAACTATCACTTGCCCAATCTGAATCAACATAACATCTTAATAATAAGGCTGAGCTGGAGTTCAGTTTAAGTTTGAAATTACTTGTTCCTTTGAGGTATTTCATTACTTTTTTAACGGCTTCCCAGTCCATTTGTCTTTGTTTACTTACTCTTCTCGTTAAATAGTTTACTGCTGTTGCAATATCGGGTCTAGTCATTGTAGATAAATATAGAAGTACCCCCACTGTTTTTCGGTACTTCTCGTTATTCGGTAACAAGTTTAATTCTTCTGATATTTTGTGATAATCCGGGTTCATTGGAATATGTACATCTGTTAAATTTAGATCTTCAATTAGTGACTCTATTTTCTTTTCTTGGTCAAGCAAGTAACTACTGTCTTTGTCACGTTCAATTCTTATTCCCAAGAAAAAACTTATATCACCTAGATCCTTTACATGAAAATGATTGTTTAATTTTTCTCCTAAATTCTTGATAACGGAGGGGCTTTTATGGCAGATCAGGATGTCGTCAACGTATGTAAGAAGATATAAATATTCATTTTCTTCTTTTTTCACAAACAAACACGGATCATTGCAACTTTGCTTGAAATCAAATTCTTGTAGAGTTTCTTTTAGTTTGTGATTCCAAGCTCTGGCAGCCTGTTTTAAACCATAAACAGATTTTTGCAGTCTATATACCAAATGTTGTTTTTCTGTGTCTAAAAAATAACTTGGTTGTATCAAATAAATTTCCTCCTCCAGTTCACCATTGAGGAAAACTGTTTTTACATCATAATGTCTTATGGTCAATTTAAATACAGCAGCAATGGTAAGAAGAATTCTAAAACTACATTGTTTCATTATTGGAGCAAAGGTGTTGTCGTAATCCTCTCCAAACTTTTGTGTATAACCCTTTGCTACCAGTCTTGCTTTGTATTGAGACACGTTTCCATTACCGTCAGTTTTAATTTTAAAAACCCATTTAGAAGCTATTGGTTTCTTATTTGAAGGTAACTCGGTAAGATACCAAACTTGTCTTTCTGTAAAAGAATTTAGTTCATCCTGCATAGCCTTCTCCCATTTTATTTTTTCGACTTCTGGAAATGTTATTAGATCCTTTATTAACATTGGCTTTCTTAAAAATTCCTCATTTGACGCCAGATATGAAAATTTTTCCGGAGGATGCCCCTTTGTTTTTCTTTTTGATCCTCTGATTATCTGATACTCTTGGTTTTCTTCATTTTTATTGCGATTCTCGTTATCTGTGATTTCATCTTTACTATGAAATTCGCAACTGTCGTTTTCTTTGTTTTCTATATCACCTTTGATTTCAACAGTTTCATCTACATTGTCTCCCATATCCCAGAGAATGAGTATTTTCTATAAATTCAACTGTTCGACAGATACTAATTTTGTTGGTTATTGGATCTAATATTCGATAACCTTTAGAATTTTCTGAATGTCCAACAAGAACACCTTTCTTAGCTTTTCTGTCCCATTTTGTTCTGTTTTGAGCTGGAATATAAAAATAAGCAACACTTCCAAAACATCTTAAAAACTAAGGTTTGGTTTCTTTCCTTTCCAAATTTCATATGGAGTTGTTTCTACTGTTTTGGATGGTAAACGGTTTTGCAGAAAAACGGCTGTAGTAACAGCTTCTCCCCAATATTTTGTACTGAGGTCGACTTCAAGTAACATAGTTCTTGCTGCTTCACAAATTGTAGGGTTTTTTCTTTCTGCCATTCCATTTTGTTCTAGTGAAAATGGAACAGTATTTTGAAATGATATTCCAAATTTTCTAAGTATATCTTTAACATTTTTTCCAGAATACTCGCCCCCATTGTCAACTCTAAAACATTTTGGGTAAATGTTGAAAATATTTTTTAATTTGGCTATGTAATCTTCCAATTTTTCACTTTAGATTTTAATAAATAAATCGTGGTAAAACGGGAAAAATCGTCAATGTGAGAAAATATTTATTGCCACTGGGTGTTTGTGTTTTCATAGGTCCACATACATCGGAATGAATAAGGTCAAGTAAATCCTTTGAATATTTTGTAGCATGTTTTGGAAATGGCTTTTTGCTCATCTTTCCTTTTATACAGGCAACGCATTTCAAGTATTCATTACAGTTTTTCATTTCTACTCCTCGTGCTAGGTTTTTAGAAATAATTTTTCTTATATCCTCTACATTTCGATGTCCTAGTCTCTTGTGCCAAACATGGATACAGTTATTATTTTGGGCAGAGATGTTAACTTGTTCTGAATTGCCTAGCTCTAGTTTATAAAGTCCTTTTTCTATTTTTGCCAGAGATTTTATTATTAAATATTATTTTACAACTATCCTGGTCAAAATTTACATTATAACCTTTCTCTGACAAACGTTTAACTGACAGTAGATTGGTTTTTAGGGAGAGAACAAATAAGACTTTTTTCATTTTTATTTTTCTGCATTCATTCAGTAATTTGCAATTTAAAAATCCTTCTCCAATACCTGCGCACTATAGTTTTTCACCATTGGCAACAGTAATTTCATCGTTGTAAGATTCAAGATGATCGAAAAACGTTTTGTTTGAAGTCATATGGCTTGTGGCACCTGAGTCTATAAACCAATCTTCTTCTTGCCCGTTTCGTGAAACACAGAAACACATCTCTTCATCGGTATCTTCTGATACAGCGCTTTTTGCATGATGCTTGTTTTTGTAGTTATGATCATTAGGTTTATTATCACTGTGACTTTTATTCTTTAGGAAATAACAATCTCTCTTCATATGCCCTCTTTTATGACAGTAAGAGCATTCAATATATTTGGATAGTAAACAGTTTTCAGAGCCTTTTGATCTGATTCTTCTGTAGATGGAACTTTTCTATTATACTCGTCTAATAATTTCCCTTTTACATACTCAAGAGTGAGTTCATTATCTGGACGTACGTCTAAAGCTGTTACCAGAGCATTGTAACTATCTGATAACCCACCAAGTAATAGTGCCGCGACATGAAAGTCTTTTATATTTTCATTAATCCCTCGCAATAATTCAACTAACTCTAAAGTTCTGTGAATATATTCCGACATTGGTTCATTTTCACCTAGCTTTGTTTGGTATAATTTTCTTAGAATATGAAGCTTGTTTGTTAAATGACCTCGTTCGTGGACTTTTTGTAGAATATCCCACATCTCTTTCGCTGAGGAACAGTTACATATGTGTATAATTTGGTTATTTTCTACTGAGAGAGATAATGTGGTTTGAGCTTTCTCATCCAAAATCAACCAGTCATTGAGTTTTTCTGCAGTGGGTTTTTCTTCGGAGATAACTTTCCAAGAACCTTCCCGTTTTAGTAGCATTCTCATTTTAAATTTCCATGGTTGATAATTATTATTATTCAGTTTGGTGATTCCAAACCTATTATCGGATGCCTCCATATTTTTTATTTATTTTTTTCTTTACTTTAACTTTCCACCGAATATTAACTGTTTTACTGAAGAGGGTCCATCACCTGTTGTAGATGTGTTCTTCACTACCAGTTAATGCCACAAGTGTATTATTTAATTTAAAAAGATAATCTAGAAAAACTAGTCTTTTATTATATCGTCAAACTGACATCAATCAATCAATCAATCATTTTTTTTACACATCAAAAGAAAAAATAAATAATAAAACATCAAAGTAAACTTGATTCGATGCAACTTCCAACAATAACTACCAGTGGGTTCTGACAGTTTAGATATGGCAACCCTATGAACATGTTGTCATTAACAGGGTCAATGATACTGTGATGTTTGTTTATTTTAAACAACAGTTTATTTATTAATAATTTATTTAAACACTTATTTATTTATAACAATACTATTCTAATTTATATATATTTCGAATGTCTTTAAACTGTTCACTATTTATATTCACTGTCTATCTATTAATGAATTCCCGCTTGGTCCTCCACCAATATTTATATACAAATTTAAAAGTTTGGCGAAGGTGCTAGAAAGTTCACCTATTCTCACCAATACACTAGAAACTATCCCGTTCTTTCTCGAATAGTCATCGAACGCTCCTTCGCCATAGTCGTCACATATTTTTGGTCTTAAGGGGTTTAATTATGTATGATAATCGGACAAGTTGAGCCTCAAAGGCCAAAAAAGACAGAGAGGAGGATTAGAGCATGACTGAATAATGGCTCACATTACAATACCTATATTGTTATATAGATTGCTTAAATCGGGTCGTTTGCGAGCAGCCATATTGCCTGGCTAATTTG